TGGAAGTAGTACTGATTTATTTGAGTTGTTGAAATTCATGAATGACAATTTATTTCATTTTTTAATTTACCTTAGGACCTTAGGCTTAAAGATTAATAATAATGTATGGTTAGTTACGTGGAGCCTTGTGCCACAGTTTGACTCGGACCATAATTCGGCTGATGAAAGTATGGCCGCACTAGAAAATCCATTGTGTGAGCAATCCATAAATTTAGGTGAAAACAATTTGAAAAATATGTTTAATCTCACCCCACCTACAAAAACCTGGAGAATATGATTGATGGGAAGGAGGAAAATAACATAGTTTTTAAATCGGGCCCGGAAATCGACTTGGGCAGGTCTCTGGATCACCAGGTCACCAGTTCAACCGTCGGGTCATCGGGTCAAATGCTGAACCGCATAGTTATTTTAATTTTTTTAAAATTATATATATAGTATTTTTGACATGTAAATATATATATATAAATAACAAAAATAAATATTTTGTATATAAAATTTGCACATCAAAGTGTTAAAAGAATTGTATCTCACAATAAATATTTACTGTATCAATATATTTACATTATTTTTACTTTTTTTATATAAAAAATACTAAAAAAATAAAAAATAAATATAGTGACCGGGTCAATGACCCGGGTCGACAGGGTCAACCGAGTTTGACCGGGTCCGTTGTTACCCGGTCTAAATAGACCACCCGGACCGGTTCCAGCTCCGGGTCGGCCGGGTCCCGGGTCGACCCGCCGAGCCGGTCCGGGTTTGAAAACAGTGGAAAATAAGCAATTCTTCACTAAATAATGAAAAATATCAGTTATGTACTGTCAATTTTTGCTATGAAGTCAACAGTTGGCTCCATAGTAGAGTCAATCTTCTATATAAAATAAATAAACCATAACATCAGTTTTGCTATGGAGCCATAGTATGGTGTCAATCCACACTTATTCACCAATAGTGTATTGACATGTGGTCTACAATAAATGCACTTTGGACATGCGTCAATACATTAAGTATTGGATGACTACATAAGAAAACCATCTGATGGTTTTATAGAATTTTTTACCATAACATATGAATAAAATTATTAATATTTATTTAAGTAATCAGTGATCGGTTTACTTTATTGTATATAGAATGTTGATTTTATAGCAAAACTATATGTACTTAACTCGTATGAGATTTTATATCCTCCCTATATATTATTCCCGAATGCGCTGAGTCTACATGGCTGCTTCTGGTGCTTTGGAATCCTACTTGGCAAAGAATCATGCTTCGTAATTAGGTTTGGACAAATAATATTGATATATTAATAATTAATAA